TCAGGCTTGAACAAACGTGCCGTAACCATAAATTAGCATAATTGCGTCTTGCACAACCCAAGAAGTTTCTCGAGTGCATTCGAGAAATATATATTTTTCCAAATGAGCCGTGCAAAAAGGGGGAAGATGTATAAACAAGTTATGCCTGCTTTTCTGACTGAAGCAAAAATGAAAAGTTTATTTTATTTTATTTGTTCCAATGACGAAGTTCAGTGTACTATTATCAAGTAGTATATCATGCATGGCATTGTTCTTTTGTGACGCACTTTGTGTGAGAATTTTTCAAGTAGATTATCTCATTGTTCCTGCAAGTTTTTTTTTCCTTTTCTTTTAAATCTTCCTTCAACAAAACGGTTCTTCGCTTTTCTTTCTCTTTTGAGGTTAACATTTCTAGGCTTGAATTTCATTTTTCCGAAAGCAAAAAAGTCAGTACTTATTTCTTTCTCACATGGTGGTTAGTACTTTATGTTGCTGTTCGAGGCATTGCATGTAATAGTGGATACAATTTTGCAAATGGATGTGGATGTATTTACTTTTTAAATTGTGTCCATGCATCTGAATATCTGCACAACAGATCAAAATTTGTGACGTACAGGATCAAGAATATATTCAAGTAATCACTTCTCATGCTTGTCATGAAACTGTAAAAATCCCTCCAAAGCATTAAAACAAAATATCATGCTTGATATACAAAATATAATTGGTCACCTGAACAACCAAAGATAAATGTTGCATTTTGGTATGAAAAGGAATTCAGAAATCAGTGCATATCAAAAAAATGCTGAAGCCAAACTCTCAACCACTGTTAGAAAAAAAAAACTCTCTAAAATGATAAGCAGGAAAGAAGGTTTATTTTGGAAAAAAATTAGCTTTATCTTGAAATCAGTTCAATTCAGCCTTTTCTTACATGGAAATAGCTCATTTTGTTGATGAGGAGGATATCCAAATTTTGAAAACAAATATCACTGTCTTTCTATGTATGGCAAGGTGTCCATAGCCCAAATCAGTCCACACATTGGGCCGGATTCCATTAGAGCTTTTAGTGTCTGTCTGCAAGTTGAATCATCCTCATAGGCCAAATTCATATCTCAAGGAGATCCCATTGTAGAGGTTCATTTTGAACTCCCTGATAAAAAACAAAAAACAAAGAGTAAATAAAGAGGAGGGAACAAAGAGAAAGGATGTTATGGATGAATGAGAGGTGGATGGATGGATGGATGCATGCCTGTGACACCACCCTCTGGTTCTAACTGCATCATCACTATCCCTGTGATTATATATCCTCCTCCTGCGTGTGAGCATTTTGCCTGCCTCAATTCTCCAACAGTAGCAGCTGAGTGGCGGAAACCGGAAGGTCGTTCTCACACACACACACACACACATGCTCGCGTGCGACCATCAACTCAAAAGAAAAATGACGAAAGGAAGATAGAAAGGAAAAGACAGATGAAGAAAGGAACAATAAGTAGGATGGAATAAGAGAAACCAGGCAGCACAGGTTCATCATCACCGCGCGGGAACCTATAGCTGAGATAGAGTACAGTACTGCTGATGGCAAGTGCATGCCAAAAAACAAAAAAAGTCTCTCTCTCTCTCCTGCAATAGCCTGTCTTTCCATCTCTCTCTTTTTCTTCATTTCTTCTTTTTTTTTCCTTCGCGAAAACTGTGGGATCTCGGACTCACGCGCGACGGGGGTTAATTGATAGTAATTTGCCTCCATCACCAGGAACAGAGGAGGGGAGAGGACATGTACTATACTGTATATACTGTACTGTACAGGAAAAGGAAGAGAAAACGGGAGCCCGCGTGTGGATGCCCCGCGGGCGGGCAGGGGGGGGATCGTGGGAGTGCGCCTGGGCCTCGACTCCCATACCTCAATATCCTCGGCTTCTCCATCTATCTATCCATACTGTACAATACAGTACAGTACACTACAGTATACACAACTCTGCGGTAGTGTGCAGTACAGTGTGTTGGTAGCTGGCGGCTTGGAGACAGGTAGGCCGCCCTTTTTTTACACACGCATTATTGGTCGGCCCCACGCTCGGTCGTGATTATCTTGCAAGACTGCATGCGCTTGAGATATATAGTCGCCACGCCATGCAGCAGCCAATTTTCCTTTCCCTTATTATATTCCTTCCGTTCTTCCTTCCTTCCGCCGCCGCTGGAACGGAAGCCGCAACGTCCAACGGCCTGACCCCGACCGACACTCATCCTTCTATCCACTTCGCAGGCAGGCCTAATCAATTCCGTTGCATGTCCATCATCATCATCATCATCATCATGCTTTTTTTTTCGTTCCTCTT